AGATCGACCCGTTGATGGTCGAATTCCCATACCATTTTGATACACCAGGAACTATTAGGTACTTGTTACAGAAAGTCTTGCTCGACTAAATACCGTACTCGCGCTGCGGTACTCTCCCTAAAGAACTGAAGGGATGAGCCAGATCTAATCGATAATTGTATATATGGGCCATGGCAATAGAGACAAGCGAGTGCTATGTTGAAAGAGCGTTGCTATACAATGACTGATCATTCTGTGAATCGAAATCCATATTCCAAATAATGACATGGTCGACATTTGCCTAGCGTTCATAAGGTGCACTCCCTCGCGCAACTCTCGCGCCTCAGACTACACCTAAGCCATCCAGCTCCTTCCTTGGGTTGCGATTCCTCATCATGATGGTCGTGCGCCAGTGGGCAATGTCAATTTGTCCGCTCGTGTGTTCTAGCGAACACATGCGACCATGAATGACAGCTCATGACAATAATACTTATCCAGCATAAACTCAGTTGCTGTTCACTATGTCACATATTCAACAGATCAACACCAATTACTACCAGTTCCAACCATACTCTACCGCCGCACCAACAACCAGGATATCAAGGGAAAGAGCAACCTCCCTGAACAATAGTCCAAACCCCATCGACACGGCGATCGCAATCACCAACGACACCCTCCTCAGCACGTTGTCGATGCCATCAACTGCAACTACACGTCTCCTACGTCCCCAATCGCACATGTCTCAGATGACCCAATTCTAATGAAGCACGTTGCCATTGCAAGAACAGAGAGCAAGCTTTCTCAATATGAATTTTTTTTTAGTGTGTAACACTTTCTAAAAATGTGTATTGTGAAAGCGCAGTTGAATTTAGCGCAGCAAGGCAACTGCGAATTACCATTCGCCGAGTATATAACGAGGGTTGGAGGCCATTTGACCTCCACCCACGTCTTCAGTCGAACTTTGTAGTTACAGTCCCCACCCACCCACCCTGGTCATATACATGTACATTTAATAGTTGGACGAGAATGCAGTAATTACCCCAATTCTAATGAAGCACGTTGCCATTGTCAGAATGTTATGCTCTAGCCTGTAGTGGGGTGCTCTATAGCGAGTAAACCCTTCTAGGGTTTGCTATTTGTATCCCCATTCTTGCTAGTTCAACCCCTCTTCTTCCTTCTAATTTTCACATGCTATCAGAGCAGGTCGATCCTCTTGGATCGATCCTGTGGGTGGGCTCACCACCTCGTTGCTTCCGCTGCAACTGCCACTGCTACTCTCTGTGCCGCACGCCCCGTGGCGTGCGGCAGTTTTTCTTCCCGCCGTGCGCCCCGAGGCGCGCGGCGGTTTTCTGCCCGCCGTGCGCCCCGAGGCGCGCGGCGGTTCTCTGCCCGCTGTGCGCTCCGAGGCGCGCGGCGGGCTTCTGCCCCGTCGTTCGCCGCGTCGCCCTCTGGAGGCGCCGCGACGGGCGATGGGGGGGGCCCGTCGCGGCGCACCGATGGCACGTACACGCCGGCCCCGCGCCGCTGCCCCGGCCCGTCGACGCCCGTGCGCCGCCCGTCCCGGCCCCACGCCGCCCGTGCGCCGCTCGTCCCGGCCCCGCGCCGCTGCCCCGGCCCGTCGACGCCCGTGTGCCGCCCGTCCCGGCCCCACGCCGCCAGTGCGCCGCTCGTCCCGGCCCCGCGCCGCTGCCCCGGCCCGTCGACGCCCGTGCGCCGCCCGTCCCGGCCCCACGCCGCCCGTGCGCCGCTCGTCCCGGCCCCGCGCCGCTGCCCCGGCCCGTCGACGCCCGTGCGCCGCCCGTCCCGGCCCCACGCCGCCCGTGCGCCGCAAGTCCCGGCCCCACGCCGCTGTCCCGGCCCGTCGCCGCCCGTGCGCCGCTCGTCCTGGCCCCGCGCAGCTGCCCCGACCCGTCGTCGGCACGTGCACCGCCCCCCCCTTCCCCCCCCCTCTTTTCCCGTCGCCTGTCGAGGCGACCTGAGGGGGGCCGACGGGAGGGGCGACGGGAGGGGCGACGGGAGGGGCGACGTGGGGGTGGGGGCGAGCGTCGCCCCTTCTGCCGTCTACTTTGGCGCCCAGGGAGGCCGCGCGTCGGCCCCCCCCCCCCCCCCCCCCCCCCCCCCCCCCCGCCCCCCCACCCCCCCCCCCCCCCGTAACCTCCCTACCCGCCATCCCGCCCTGCCCTGTGTTCGGGTTTGGGGGTGGCGAGTGGGGGGTGGCGGGTGTGTGGTCTCCCCTGCTCCTCCTCCTCTGTCTCCCACTGCTGCAGCTGCCGCTGGGGGGGATGGGTGTGTGGGAGTCGACGGAGTCGTGCTAGGGGGTGGGGTGTGAGTGACCCTAGGGGTGCAGTAGGGGGTGTGTGTCAGGGGGGGTGGGATAGTTTGGGGAAGCTGAATGGAGGTTGCCGTCGTGTCGCCAGCAGCACCTGTATTCCGGGGACTTCGTCCGGTAGCCCAGTCGTAGCCAGCTGTGCCAGCCGCCCGTGGGTCCGTTGCTCGTCTGCCGCTACTTTTAGCCGCGGGGCCAGTTACTCCAGTAGTCCGGAGCGTTGTTCCGGTAGCCGCTGTGCCAGTGTGCCTCCTGTTGCCCGTGTGTCTGCAGCTTCAGTCGTCGCCTCCTATCTCCTCTCCTCTTACAGTCTTGCCTCCTCCTCCTCACTTGCCCTCTGCTATAGCCTCTAGCTTTGCTTACACTTGTGAACTTTAAACTGTTGCTTCTTGAACTTGTGCTCAGAATGTGTGGTGACATTGTGATCCACCCTGAGCTTGTTCTGCTTTGCTTGCTCTGCTGATTACACCCCACTTTGGCTATGGGGGTGTGTCAGAATGTTATGCTGTAGCCTGTAGTGGGGTGCTCTATAGCGAGTACAACCCTTCTAGGGTTTGCTATTTGTATCCCCATTCTTGCTAGTTCAACCCCTCTCCTTCCTTCTAATTTTCACAGCCGTTGCAAAAACAGAGAGCAAGCTTTCTCAATAGGCGCTTATTCTTTGCGTGAAGTGCCTCAGCGACTGCCATGCATAGTGCGTAAGACAGAGGAGATGACAAAAAAAGTTGCGGTTGAGACACGTGGCAAATTCAATAAGTCGGCGAGCTGAATGATTGGTATTCGGGAAATTAGTGCTTATGAAACTCCCTTCCGCGCCGAGCTACATGTATTACGAAAGGCCTAGAGCTTTGAAGCTGCTGCATGTGCATTTTGCCCCATTTCAATTCCTTCGACATTCAAATTTGTCGCCCTGTTTCTTTACCTAGCGAATCGGTCAACCAAGTAGGTCGAGTACGCCGAGTATATACCACACGGTGGGGCGCCCGGTGTAGAGCGTGGAGTCGAGCAGGCTGCGCGATTGGGATATTATGAGGTTTTGAGAGGTAGAGAACGTCGAGGAAGGACGTCTCAAAAACTCTCTGTTGTCACGCGGTATAGAGTGTGGAGGCGAGGAGGCTGCGCGGTTGTGATATCAACGGTTGCGCGCTGCGTTATCTACATTAGCTTGAGTCGACTAAAAAACGGTAGTGAAAGGTGACTCGTGATTCGAGTTCAGAAGTTAACTTTCACCTTGGCAAGAGATTAAGGACTCGAAGCGCGCTAGAGAGAGGGATGGGATCATCACTGCAACGGAAATTGAATGCGACGCGGAATGATCCTGTGATGGATAGGGACGGTGCCTTCCGCGTTAAAATAGGTATTAGGGCGCCTCAAGACTCAAGGGGTATCGGCGTGACTTTGGGCGAGTATCGGCGAGTCCACCGGGATGGCGCACCGTCGTCTTTACGGCGCTACGCCTGGCGGCTTCCGCCTCGTCTGGCGCAGCAGAATGGGGATGAGGATGGGGATGAGGATGGGGATGGGGGCACGGTGGAGTGGGTGGGAGATGATGAGGAGGAGGAGGACGACGACGGCGATGGAAAGGAGGATGAAGAGGAGGAGGATGAGGAGGTGAATGAGGAGGATGAGGAGGTGAATGAGGAGGATGAGGAGGTGAATGAGGAGGTGGATGAGGAGGAGAAGGATGTTTGCATTGTGACAAAGGGGGTGAAATGAAGAAGAACGAGGGGAGGGAGGGGGGGAATGAGAAGCTCTACACATGTGAGGAGTGTGGAAAGGCGTTTCCTACACGGCAGAGGTTAAAGAATCACGTGGCCACCCACTCGAAAACTGTGTGATTCCCTCACTCGCTCGCTCGCTCGCTCACACACTCGCCCACTCATTCACTCACTCACTCGCTTGCTTGCTCACTCACTCACTCACTCACTCGCTGACTCACTCACTCCCTCTCACTCCCTCTCTCCCTCCTTCCCTCCCTCCCTCCCTCCCTCCCTCCCTCCCTCCCTCCCTCCCTCCCTCCCTCCCTCCCTCCCTCCCTCCCTCCCTCCCTCCCTCCCTCCTTCACTCCCTCGCTCACTCATTCACTCCCTCACTTTGACACTTCACAGCCTCATGTCTCAGGTGCCTCTACCCGTTTCCGTTCATTCCATCATCGTTTTCTAAGCGACTCAAAGCATAGCCTTAAGTACCCGTTGTTCTCTCCTCCCCTCGTCCCCTCTTTCCCTTACTGCCACTACCAGCTACAGAGGCACCTTCGCGTTCACAACCCCGATGCTCGCCAAGTGACGCAGCTTCAAGTAAGATCTCTTCGCCTCCTCTGCCCCCGTCCCCGCTTTCCCCCAACCCTCCCCTCTCCCTCCCCCCTTTTTTCCCTTTCCCCCTTCCCCCAAATCGATTTACTGCTATTGCTTTTCCATCCCTTACTCATAGCCACATAGCTAGCCTTGCCTCCCTCCTCTTTCTTACACTACACGCAAATTCACAAGTCTTTATTTGAGTGCCTTATAGCTAGCCTTGCCTCCCTCGCCTCTCTTACAGTACACACAACTTCACGAGCGCCATTGCGGTCTAATAGGTGCGCCTTGCTTTCCCTCTTCCTGTTCACTTCCCCAACCCCACTCCCTCCCTCCCTCCTAATCACCAGCACCCATGCTCTCATCCCCACTGCCCTCGAACCTTCACGCGCCGAGGCGACATGCTAAACCATGCACGTAAACAGCATGGGGAGGAGGGGGAGAGTGGGGTCGCGGTAAAGAGAGGGAAGGAGAGGGACGAGGTGGAAAGGAGGGATGAGGAGAGGAGGAAAGAGGCGAAGAGGGAGGAGGAGAGGAAGGAAGCGGCAAGGAGGGAGGAGAGGAGGGAAAAGGTGATGAAGGAAATAGCGAGGAGGGAGGAGGAGAGGAAGGAAGCGGCGAGGAGGGAGGAGGAGAGGAAGGAAGCGGCGAGGAGGGAGGAGGAGAGGAAGGAAAAGGCGAGGAGGGAAAAGGCGAGGAGGGAAAAGGCGAGGAGGGAGGAGGCGAGGAGAGAAAAGGCGAGAAAGGAAAAGGCGAGGAGGGAGGAGAAAAGGAGGGAAAAGGAGAGGAGGGAAGAGGCGAGGAGGGAGGAGGAGAGGAAGGAAGCCGCGAGGAGGGAGGAGGAGAGGAAGGAAGCGGCGAGGAGGGAGGAGGAGAGGAAGGAAGCTGCGAGGAAGGAGGAGGAGAGGAAAGAAGGGGCGATTAGGGAGGAGGAGAGGAAGGAAGCAGCAAGAAGGGAGGAGGAGAGGAAGCAAGCCGCGAGGAGGGAGGAGGAGAGGAAGGAAGCGGCGAGGAGGGAGGAGGAGAGGAGGGAAGAGGTTCTTAGGCAGGTATGTGAGAAGAAAACGAGTGTTTTGATAGGGAGAGATGGAAGGAGAGGCGAGGAGAAGGAAGGAAAGGGGAGTAGAAGGGAGGAGAGGGATGGTGAGGAGGAAACACCCCTTTCCCTTTTTTCAGGGGAGGGCGGCATGGGAAGGGAAGCGATGCAGGTTCAAGGAGAAGGCAACGCGGTCGGAGGAGGGTTGGGGACAGAGAAGAGAGCAAGAACCCAATCCTTGCCTGCAGAGGAGCGAAACACCATGGGAATGGCAGCGATGCAGTGCGATGCAGAGAAGCAACAGGTGCAAGGGGAGGGCAACGCGGTTGGAGGAGAGAGGGGGAAAGAGGAGGGAGGAAATCCATTGTTACTAGGCTATACGGGCAGCATAAGAAGGCTAGTGATGCCGCTTCATGGGAAGGGCAGCGATGGTGGGGAAGGGAGGGGGACAGCGGAAGGAGTAGAGGCACCCCTTGGTGGGAATGAGGGTAGTTTGGGGAAGGCAGTGGTGCCAGTGCGAGGGGAGGGCAACGTTGGTGGAGAAGGGAGGAGGGAGGGAGAAGAGAAGAGGGAAGAGGAGGGAGAACAAGAGGAAGAAGAAGAAGAAGAGGAGGGAGAAGGAGAGGGAGAAGAGGAGGGAGATAAGGAGGGAGAACCCTCTCCCCTCTGTCCCAGGGGGGATGTCAATGTGGGGAGTTGGGGGGTGAATGAGTGTGAGGGAGAGAAGGGGGAAGATGCAGCTGAACTAGAGGAGTTCACATGCTTGCAGGAGGGGCGCAAGAGGAAAATGCATGGAGGAGGAGGTGTTGAGAGGGAAGGGGCTGGCTGCAGGAAAAGGCACCTGAAAGGCCACCTGAGGGAGCAGAATAGGTACCTGAATAGGAAGGTGCATCATTTTGTGGGGAGGAGAGACCGCCGATGCAACCTGAGGAAGCACCTGAAGGCAACAGAGAAGGAGCACCTGAGGCAGGAGGACATTCTCCTGAAGGAGGAGGCTCACCTGAGGCAGCAGGCAGTACACTCAAAGCAACAGGAGGAACACCTGCGGAAGAAAGAGCGCTTTCTGGACCAACAGAATGAGCAGCAGGATTTCTACCTGAAACAGAAAGAGCTGCTCCTGAGGGAACAAAAGGAGCAGCAAGAGACACACTTGAAGCAGAAAGAGTTGCTCCTGAGGGAACAGCAGGAGCAGGAGGTGTTGTATCTGAAACAGAAAGAGGTGCTCCTGGAGGAACAGAAAGAGCGGCAGGAGATGCACGGGAGGCAGGAGGAGGAGCTCCTGCGGCAGCATGACGAGCACTTAAAGCAGCAGCGCGAGCACCTCAACGATCAGGAAAAACTCCTGAAGCGCAAGTGGCACCTGGGCCTTCAGGGGAGGCACACTCGGATTCAGAAGGCTCGCCTAAATGACGGCTCTGTAGGTCCTAGTGTTTGAGAAGAGGGGGTGGGGTGAGGGTGGGGAGGGAGGGAGGATGGTGGAGGATGAAGGGAGAGGAGGGGGCGTGGTGAAGATGGAGGGGATGGAGAAGAGACGAGTATAGTTTTAGAGGACGGGGCAGGATTATCGGGGAGTTGGTCCCAGGGAGAAAACCCTCGATGCATGTGCGGACTAAAAATTCACTGCCAATGGATGCTCCCATTCCAGGATTTTGTGCTGGAATTGATTCCTTTTCTAGTGAAGACCTTTCTGAGTCTGGTTAATTTCACTCTTGAAAGTCAAGGTAGACTTTCGCTTTGTCTTCCGCACCTGATGGAATTCGAGCCTGAATCGTTTTCCAATGTCTTCCATCACAAGAGCAAAGAGGAAATATAGTATAAGGGGGTTACCATACTGTATATTTTTTTCGAAGTGACTCGTGGGTGGAAGGAAGGTCAAGACATGCTAGAGTTAAAAGTTTAGAAAGATATAAGCATTCTCACTTCCAACATATAACTGTACCGTGTTGGTTAGAAGGTTTTGTGTATGTCTGTAAGCTGTAGCGTATCTGCAAACTCGAGCAACTGAACAGCACCAACTCGACTCAGTCTGCTTCCCCAGCAGCGGACTTGTGCGCAGACAGCACACGTAGGCATGGGCAGAAATAGGTTGTGCGTGCAGCGCAGGCACAGCTAGGTCGCGCGTGCAGCGCAGACACACTTAGGTCGCGCGTGCAGCACCGCTATATGCGGAAATGCCATCCGCGGAAGATGAAGTGGGCGGTTCGGTTCCGCAGCGGAGCACGCGGAGGTCGACGCGACTGGCGCAGGCTAGCGGAGCGGATGCATGCGGAAGGACCAGCGCGGAAGCCGGCGGTAGAATTAATGCGGAATCCGGCGGAAGGAACAGCGCGTTGATTAAGGATGGAAATGTCGGGAAGGCTCTCGCGACTAATGGCAGTGATAACAGCAGTAGCAGCGGCAGCAGCAGCTCCCGAAGCAGCTCAGAAGGTTCCATTTGCAGCAGCAAGGGATTTGTCGTGAGCAACGAGGACGAATTGTCGGATGACGACAGCATGACGTCAGTCGAGGACGAACGGTCCCCGCGGGCAGGGAGGAAAAGTTCTGGGCCGGTCAGAAAAAGCGATTGCGAGATGAAAGGGGAGGTAAAGGGAAATGAGGCTACGATTAGGGTTAGAGGAGAGAAAAAGGGGAGAGGGAGAAGCGAAGGGGGGCAAGCAGGGGAGAAGGGAGGCGGAGAAGGGGAACGGAACGGAGCGGGAGGGGAAAAGAAATGGGGGGGGACAAGCGGGGGGGAAAAGGCGCAGGGCGGAGGGTTGAAGGGGCTGAGCGCAGGGGGGAAGAAGGGAGATGCGCGCACAAGTGCGGGCATGGTTGGTGCCACGGGTGGGGGTGTGGGTGGGGTAGGAGAGGGAGTGACGGAGGGAATAGCGGAGGGGCTTATAGACGGTTTGGCGGAGGGAATAGCTGAGGCGCTGGGGGGGAAACGCGCAGAGGGGAAAGCGGAGGGGAGAGAGGCGAGACGAGCAGAGGGAGCAGCAGCAGCAGCGGCAGCAGCAGCAGCAGCAGCAACAGCGACAGAAGAAAGGGCAACAGCAGCAAAGGGGCGTGTTGATATGCAAGGGAATGAGGAAGAGGCGTCAAGAGGGGATGTAGATGGATGGGTTGACCCTGTAGCGGAGTACATAGGATGGTCTATAACGGGGATGAGGAGGGGAGGGGGAGGGGATGTGGAAAGAGGGGAAGAGGAGGGAGGATGGGGCGAGGAGTGGGAGGAGGAAGGGGAATGGGAGGAGGAGGAGGACGAGGAGGAGAGGGAAGAGGAGGAGGGGGAAGAAGAGGGGGAAGGAGATGGGGAAGAGGAGCAGGAGAAGGAGGAGGGGGAGAGTGAGGGAAGAGAAGGACGGAAAAGGATCAGCAGCAGCAACGGGAAGCAGCGGGGAAAGGAGCAGGAGAACGACAAAGCAGCACATGAGAAAGCAACAACGAACCGTATCAGCTGCGAAAAGTGTACAGAGAGAAATAGGTGCAGGGATTGCGAGGGGTGCAAAGAGGCTAATAGTGGAGGAGAAGCAGATAAGAGGGGCTCGGCCACAGCAGGAAAGGCACGAGAAGGTCGACCAGGAGGAGAGGCGGAAAAAGCAGCAGAAGCAGTCGATGAAACTTCATTGAATCACTTGAATGCTGCTGGTATAGGTCCCTTAGATGGGTACGCGGATGGTTTGGAAGACAACGCGGACCCCCTGGGCGGGTATATAGACCCACTGGAGCAATATATGCTGTGGTCTGGCGTGGGGATGGTGGGAGAGGGGGGAGGGGAGGAGGGGGAAGATACGGGGGAGGAGGTGGGGGAGGATGTGGGGGAGGAGGTAGGGGAGGTTGTGGGGCAGGCGGAGGTAGGGGGAGATGGAGAGGGGACGGTGGGGGGAGGTGTAGGGGGAGAGGTTGGCGGAAAGGTAGGTGAAGAAGAGGGGGATGAGGTGGGGGAAGGGGAGGTGGGGGAAGAGGGGATGGAGAGGAAGGAGGTGAGTACAGGGAATGAGAGGAGAGAGGTGGAGAGGCGAGATGAGGAGGGGAGAGAGGAGGAGGGGAGGCAGGAGGAGGAGAGAGAGGAGGGAGGACAAAAGGAGGGGCGAGGGGAGGGGAGGCAAGAGGAGGGGGAAGATGAGAAGGAAGTTATTGAAGGGCGGGGTGTGAGAGAGGTTGGAGGGGAGAGGGAGGGGAAGGAAGGGAGGGGAGTGAGGGAGGTTGGAGGGGAGACGGATGGGGGCGAAGGGAGGGGAGTGAGGGAGGTTGGAGGGGAGAGGGAGGGGGGCGAAGGGAGGGAGCAGGAGGAACGGGAGAGACATGGAGTGGGGGATGAGGGGCAGGGTGTGGAGTGTGGTGGCGGCAGAGAGAAGAATGGGCAGAATGAGAATGATAAGGAGAATGAAATTAGTGAGGCGAGAGAGGATGACGATGTGGTGGAAGTGACAGTGATGGGAAAGGGAGAGGGAAAGGGCGGTAAAGGAGGAGGGGAGGTGGGTGATGGTAGAGAGGCGAGGGAAGGCGAGGGTATGGGGCGTGATTGGGGGGAGTGTGACGTTGAGGAGTGTGAGATAGTGGAGGGGAATGTTCGGGGGAGGGATGGTGAGGGAAGGGATGTTGAAGAGAGAAGGGGAAGGCGAGTGGCTGGTGAAGTGAGAAGAGGGCGAGTGGGAGAGAAAGGCGGGAGTGGAAGGGAGAAGGGGAAGGTAACGAAGAGAGAAAGGGAGGGAAAGAGGAGTCGGAGAGGAGAAGAGAAGGCGAGGGCACATGAGGAGGAGGAGGAGGGAGAGGACGGAGGGGAGAGGGAGGAGGAAGAGGGTGAAGAGGTGGAGGAGATTGAAATGGTGGAGGGGGGGGAGAAGGAGGAGGAGAAGAAGGTGGGGGAAGAAGAGGTGAAGGGCAGAAAGAGGGGACAAAAGCGGAGTAAGCACGAGGAGAGGGAGAATGAGGGGAATGATGAGGGTAAGGAGGATGAGGATGAGGAGGAGGAGGTGGAAGAGATAAAGGTAGAAGATATACAGGAGGACAGGAGCAAGAGGAATAAGAGGAAGCGCAAGGAGAGGCAGGGGGGAGAAAAGGAGAAGGAGGCGAGAAAGAGGTCAAAGTACCAGAAAGAAGAGGAGAAAGAGGAAGAGGAGGATTTGGGAGAGGAGGAGGAGAGTGAGGAGGAGGAAGTGGAGCAGGGCAAGGGGGGAAGGAGGTGTAAGGCGAAGGAGAAGCGGTATGAGTGTGGGCAGTGCGGCATGGCGTTCACTCGACCGGCATATGTGCGACAACACATGGCCACCCACGCGAACCAGGTGGGCTGCTCTTACTCTCCTCACTCACACTCACTCACACTCACTCACACTCACTCACTTACCTGCACTCATGCTAGGTTTCTCACCCACCCGGCCATCGTATGTGAGGCAGCACTTGGCCATACTGGAGAAAGCGTAAGTGTTAGCAGATCTTCGGACATTTTCCAGTGAGCAGCGGCGCTTAGGTAAAATGTCCAAAGGTTTCTCACCCACCCGGCCATCGTATGTGAGGCAGCACTTGGCCATACTGGAGAAAGCGTAAGTGTTAGCAGATCTTCGGACATTTTCCAGTGAGCAGCGGCGCTTAGGTAAAATGTCCAAAGGTTTCTCACCCACCCGGCCATCGTATGTGAGGCAGCACTTGGCCATCGTATGTGAGGCAGCACTTGGCCATCGTATGTGAGGCAGCACTTGGCCATCGTATGTGAGGCAGCACTTGGCCATCGTATGTGAGGCAGCACTTGGCCATCGTATGTGAGGCAGCACTTGGCCATCGTATGTGAGGCAGCACTTGGCCATCGTATGTGAGGCAGCACTTGGCCATCGTATGTGAGGCAGCACTTGGCCATCGTATGTGAGGCAGCACTTGGCCATCGTATGTGAGGCAGCACTTGGCCATCGTATGTGAGGCAGCACTTGGCCATCGTATGTGAGGCAGCACTTGGCCATCGTATGTGAGGCAGCACTTGGCCATCGTATGTGAGGCAGCACTTGGCCATCGTATGTGAGGCAGCACTTGGCCATCGTATGTGAGGCAGCACTTGGCCATCGTATGTGAGGCAGCACTTGGCCATCGTATGTGAGGCAGCACTTGGCCATCGTATGTGAGGCAGCACTTGGCCATCGTATGTGAGGCAGCACTTGGCCATCGTATGTGAGGCAGCACTTGGCCATCGTATGTGAGGCAGCACTTGGCCATCGTATGTGAGGCAGCACTTGGCCATCGTATGTGAGGCAGCACTTGGCCATCGTATGTGAGGCAGCACTTGGCCATCGTATGTGAGGCAGCACTTGGCCATCGTATGTGAGGCAGCACTTGGCCATCGTATGTGAGGCAGCACTTGGCCATCGTATGTGAGGCAGCACTTGGCCATCGTATGTGAGGCAGCACTTGGCCATCGTATGTGAGGCAGCACTTGGCCATCGTATGTGAGGCAGCACTTGGCCGTTCACTCCCTCCAGGGGGGTTGATGCTCAGTCCGCTGGCTTTGTCCGTGATGCTGCAGGGTGTTTTTGAGAATTCTCAAAAACACCCTCAGTCCGCTGGCTTTGGCCGCATGAGGAGGACTAGGAAGGCCTCACTCACTCACCCACTCAATCACTCCGGTTCTTCACCCTCCCTCGCTCGCCTTCCTACCACTCCCTGCTACCCCACCCCACCAATTGCCTTACAGCAGAAGTCGTTTGTGTGCCCACACGAGGACTGCAGAAGAGCGTTCGGGAGGAAGTACCACCTGCAGCGCCACATGCAGTCGCATGCTCCCGACCGGGTGAGTCCCTCCCTTTCCGTGCTAGTGATGCCAACCCAATCATATGAGTCGACTCACAAGTCTCATCATTCAGGAAGAAGGAACTACCACATGCAGCTTCCCATCCCATGCCCCTGACCAGGTAAGTTCCTCCCCTTTCCATGCTACCAACGCCATCCTAATCATATGAGTCGACTCACAAGTCTCATTGTTCAGGAGGAAGGAAGTACCACCTGCAGCGCCACATGCAGCCTCCCATCCCATGCCCTCGACCAGGTAAGTTCCTCCCTTTTCCATGCTACCAACGCCATCCTAATCATATGAGTCGGCTCACGTCATTCAGGAGGAAGGAAGTACCACCTGCAGCGCCACATGCAGCCTCCCATCCCACGCCCCTGACCGGGCCTGTTTTTGCATCATAAGACATGCTGCGACAGGTGAGGATGTTCCTTTTATCAATCTCCTCTCCCGATCCTCTCCTTCCTCTGCATCCCACCCCACCCGTTCCCCTGCCCGCACCCTAAGTGCGCCCAAACATTCAGCCTGCATGCCAGCATGCAGCGACACGTGAGGCTACTGTTCCCCTGATTCTGTCTCCCTCCCCAATCCTCTTCTTCCATTTTCTTTCCCTACTTCCCCCCAGTTCCCCTGCCCACACCCGCAGTGCACTCAGACGTTCAGCCTGCACGCCAGCATGCAGCGGCGCGTGAGGGAGCAGCACTGGGAGGAGGAGGGCATTCGAGACCGGCTTGATCGAATCAACCGAGAGATCAAGGCGAAGCAGCAACGGCACGGGAGGGAGGTTGATGTTCTCCTGATTCTCTTGCCTCCCTCCATCTGCGCAACCCCTACATCCCCACCCTACCAGTTTCCCTGTCCGCACCCGCAGTGCACCAAGACGTTCAGCCTGCATGCCAGCATGCAGCGGCACGTGAGGGAGCAACACTGGGAGGAGGAGGGCATCCGGGACCGGCTGGATAGAGTAAATAGAGAGAGCAAGGGGAAGCAGGAGGAGGAGGGGGGGATTGGTGATCGGTTGTGTAGGGTGAAGAGAGAGAGTAAGGGAGGGGGTGCGGAGCATAAGGTTCAGGAGAAGGAGGGGGTCCAGGAGAGAAGACAGCAGAAGGGACAGCAGAAAACAGAGGAGAAAGCACAGGGGAAGACGCAGGAAGCACAGGAAAAAATGCAGAAAGCACAGGAAATAATACAGGAGAAACCGAAGGAGAAAACGCAGGAGGAAGCGCAGGAGGAAACACAAGAGAAGGAATGTGAGAAGACAGCAGAAGCAACAGGAGGGATTGGAGGAGGGGGGAAGGAGGGGATAGCTGGGAATGAGGAGCGGAGAGGAGGGGAGGAGGAGCAGAGAGGAAGGGAGGAGAGGAAAGCAGGGGAGGGGGAGAGGGAGGAGGAAAGGAGAGGTGGAGACGAGGGGAGAGGAGGGGAGGAGGAGAGGGAGGAGGAAAAGAGAGGTGGAGACGAGAAGAGAGGAGGTGAGGAGGAGAGGATCGCAGCAGAGGGGGAAAGGAGAGGAGGGGGAAATCAGAAGAGAGAAGGCGAGCAGGAGGAGAGAAGGGGTGATGAAGGGGCTGGAAAGGGTTTGAGTGTGATGGGGAGTGGTGAGAAGCGGTTTGACACTCAAATGTGTGATGCTGAATTGTTTGATGCTGCTGAAGCAGACAGGCAAGAATCTGCTGACGTGGAGGATAACAGAGAGATCCTTGCGACCAATGGGAGAGAAGGGGCGGTGCAAGGGATGCAGGGCCACCTGCAGCAACAGAAGCAGCACCTGAAGAAACACCTGGAGGTTGGTGAGGATCGCCTGGAGAAGCACCTGAAGGAGAAGGAGCAGCCTGGTATGGAGATGAAAAATCACCTGAACCAACAGAAGGAACAGCTGAGGGCAATAAAGGAGCACTTGAGGAGGAAGGAGATTCTCCTAAAGGAGGAGGAGGATTTTCTGAGGCGGCAGCAGGAGCACCTGAGACAACAGAAGGAGCACCTGAAACAACAGAACGAGGATCTGAGGCAACGAGAGGAGCAATTAGCAAGGCAAGAGCAGCACCTGGGGGAACACCTGAGCGGGGAGCACCTGGGGGAAGCGCACCTGGGAGGACACCTGAGGGGGCACCTGAGGGGGAAGCACGTGGGGGGGAATGGGTTGCTACTGCTGCAAGATGCAGTATGCTTAAGCTCTCGTGCTGCTGTGGGGACGACTGGTGGTGGTGTGGCAGCAGCTGATGCTGACGTGGCAGCTCGTGCTGATGTGGCAGCAACTGATGGTGATGCAGAAGTGGCTGTTTGTCATGTGGCAGGTGGCGATGGTGATATTACAGCAGCTGATGGTGATGTGGCAGAAGCTGTTGATGAGGTGGCAACCGATGCCGATGCAATGGCGACCGTTGGTACGAGTGTGGGCGGTGGGGGGACTGGTTGTGTGGCTGGTGGTGTGGCTGGTGGTGTGGCTGGTGAGGGTGCTGATGGGAGGATAAGGGAAGGCGTGAGGGAAGTGGAGGTGGCGATGCGAGGAGAAGGAGGGGGAGGGGGTGAGGGGAAGGTGGAGGTTGGCAAAGGAGCAATGGCATCAGAAGTGGTGGTTGGTACAGGAGCTGTGGCGTCAGGGGGTGGTTGTGAGTCGCCTCAAAAGTTGATGCGAGGAGAGGAGGGAAGGGGAGCGGGTCAGGGGAAGGTGGAGGTTGGCAAAGGAGCAATGGCATCAGAAGTGGCGTCAGAGGGGGTAAGGAAGTACAAGCAGGCTGGGATGATGAGCTGGAAGCGAAGGAGGTGGTGTGATAAGGACGTGGTGAGAGATAAGCATGTGGTGAGAAGCAAGGAGATGGCGGCAGGAAAGCTGGTAAAGTGTAAGGAACGAGATGGCAAGACAAGGGAGAGGAAGCTGGAGGCATTGGGAGAAGGCAAGTCAAGGAAGGGACCATGTGAAGGCACTGAGGCAAGGCACGCAGAAGGGGAAGGAGCTTCGACAGGGAGCGAAGGAGAGGGCGACACATCAGCATCAAGTGACGGGGATGCAGCGGCAGAAAGTACAGCTGCAGCAGCAGCAGCAGCAGGGGAGGGCACGGATGGCGCAGCAGAGGGAGCAGATGGGGCCATATGTGGCTTCTGCTTTGCTGCCTTCCCGTCCCTCCCTGCCTTGGAGCAGCACACACAGCAGCAGCACCGCTCCGTGCCATGCCAGCACTGCAACAAGCGCATCTCTTTCTCTCGCTTCAAGCGCCATTTGAAGGAGCAGCATGAGGTGGAGCAACGACCATCCCACCCATGCAAGGTGGATGGGTGCAGCAAGGCGTTCAGCTCTGTGAGTCCCTCTCCCTGCCGAGCCCCCGCCGTACCAATCGCATATCCTTTTCCAGTTTCAAGCGTCATTTGAAGGAGCAGCATGAGCTGGAGCAACGACCATCCCACCCGTGCAAGGTGGATGGGTGCAGCAAGGCGTTCAGCTCTGTGATTCGCCTAGACTGCTGATGCTGTGATCCCCGCTTAAAACACCTGCTGCTCCCTCCCTTCACCATGCAACACGACACCCTGAGGGCGCACAACAGGGAGTGCCACAATTGTGCCACCAGCACAATCCTCCCTTTGCCTGCTCGGCCCTAGGCTGCTGTCAGTTTTTGAGTCGACTCAAAAATAGGCTCGGCCCCAGGCTGCTGTCAGCTCTTCACGTACCAAGTGAACGTCTCCCTACCCTCCCTTTCTTTCTCCCTTTCCCCGCCCTCCTCCTCAGAGCAGCCCAGCAACCCGAGGGCGCACATCAGGGCGTGTCACCAGAAGGACCGCCCCTTCGCCTGTTCCCTCCCACACTGCTCCCTGCGCTTCACATACCAAGTCAACCTCCCCCTACTCTCCCTTCCTTTCCCCTCTCTCACCCTCCCTCCCCCACTCCTCCTCAGTTCAGCCCAGCAACCTGAGGACGCACATCAGGGCGTGTCACCAGAAGGACCGCCCTTTTACAAGCTCACTTACTGCATGGCCCTCTTCCTACTCTCCCTCCTCTCCCTTTCTTCCCCCCCTCCTTCTCAGAGCAGCCCAGCAACCTGAGAACGCACATTAGGGCATGCCACCAGGAGGACCGCCCCTTTGCCTGCTCCGTGCCAGGCTGCTCCCAGCGCTTTGCATACAAAGTCAACCTCTCACGGCATATTGCAGCCATACACGAGATGACACCCGCACAGGTGAGAGTGAGAGCAGTGCTGACTGTGGTATGTGTACAGGAGCTTTCAACTCCCAGGCTGCTCCCAGCGCTTGGCATACAAAGTCAACCTCTCACGCCACGTGGTCGCCATACACGTCCTCACTCCCGCACAGGTGAGAGCAATGCTGACTGTGTGGTGTGTTGGGGAGCGTTAGAGTGAGTGCAAATACTCGCAGGCTGCTCCCAGTGCTTTGAATACAAAGTCAACCTTTCACGCCACGTGGCAGCCATTCACGCACTCACACCCACACAGGTGAGAGCACGTGCTAGTGTTAGGGAGCCTTATACTGATTGCAGCCACACTCCCTGGCTGCTCCCAGCGCTTCGCATACAAAGTGAACTTCTCACGCCACGTGGCAGCCATGCACATGCTAACGCCTGCACAGGTGAACGCAGTGGTGACTGTGGTGTGTGTTGGGGAGCGTTAGAGTGAGTGCAAATACTCCCAGGCTGCTCCCAGCGCCTCGCATACAAAGTCAACCTCTCGAGGCATGTGGCTGTCTTACACATGTTGACACCCGCACAGGTGAGAGCAGTGCTGAGTGGCAACAGCGGTATTTTGAGCATGAACCCGACGAGTTCAAACTGAGCCTTTCACGCCATGTTGTCACCATTAATAGGCTCGACCCCGCAGGAGTGAGAGGATGGCCACGTTCGTCTTTTGAGGAAGCTTGTAACGAGTACAAACTGGACTGCATAGCGTAGGGGTTGTCTGTCTCCTTTTTCTGGCACAGGTTTTGACTCTCTCACTCGCACTCCCTCCCCAACATGCTGGTTACTGGTAGCATGCGCATGCCCCCATCTTTGTCTGCTTTTGAGTTGACTCAAAAAGCGGCCTCCCCAACATACTGGTAACTGGTAGCATGCACATGCCCCCATCGTTGTCCCCATACATACATACCCTTCTTCTTCCATGTCCCTCCTGTCCTCCCTTCCCTCTGCCCCGCCTCCCTGTGCTGCTCTCGATCTCTCAATGCCATTACTCAGAATGTGGTGGAGAGGGATGAGGCCATGCACAAGAGACAGAAGCTCACGGGGAGACCACCTTGTTCTGATGGTGCTGCGTTCGTTAGCGATACGCTGTGTGCTGCACATAAGCATGAAAATGGCTCCGCGGAAGCAGAAAAATGATAAGCTTACTAGCATTAATACGTACTATGTACATAACTGCCTAGACCTTCAACAGCATGTAACACAGTTTTATAACACTTCCAATAATCGTACACATCATTTTGATTGCACTTGCGTGCTCTGCACGCCTACTGGGTTACACTGGTGTACTCTTGTGTCTGATATGTATCGGGACATTAAGATAAGGTGGTAATGGCACTGCAACGGGGCACACTCTGCTGAGGAAATAGTTGTCGATTCATGCATGCACGTCCCACGTGTGTAGAACAGCCTTGATTGGCTCCTAAAAGTCCCACGTGGGGGCACGGACCTGCAAACCAAATCGTGCTGTCGGGAATCTGTTGTGATTCGGGAATCAGGACTCCGAATCGTCAAAGAATTTTGACACCCCTGACCTGACCCCGACAGACGCACTCTCCAGCCCAAAGCTCGGGTCAAGCACAAAACCTGTTTGGTTTGGGCTGACTCCAGGTCATGCCTGTTGATTCACGGACATTTGTCCGTTTTCCCTGAGAATTCAGGGTTAGTTTCAGCTCAGCTCGGAGATTTTCAGGGCTGGTTTTTTCCCCTTCCCGGATTTCCAACGGACAGATTTTGGGGCTCCCCGGATTTCCTCACCTGCTACCCCCCTTCCCCTCCCCCCCTCTCTTCCTCACCTTAGACCGCGAACTTGTTCCTCTCCCACTCCTCCCAACAACACCAGCCCCCCACGTTCCACTAACGTATGCTGCTCTTTAGTGTATGTATAGCTCGATAACTTAGCTTTATTACGCATGCATTCTCAGAGCCGGAAATATGAATGCCCTGATTTTACGACCGCTTCCCGGATAGCTCAGGGTTGCTTTCGAGACAGCTCAACTTCTTACGGGTTGGACCCAGACCAGTCGACAGCCCTGCTCCAGGTCCAGAATTGACTCCACCCAAGCCACTTCACTCCGTTCTTCCCCACCCCACCCAGCAAGCCCCAATGAGGCCGATGTGCGTCCACCAGAATACCTTCTTTGAATGAGGGCGCGTTTCTATCCCGTTTCAGACATTATGTTTGACACGAAGCGGAAGTTCAGAACACCCGAAGTGGCTCGCTGTTGGGGCGATTGGAAGTTCGGAAGAGACAAATTGGAGACTAAGGCCGCATGACTTGATGTCTGACACGGCATTGAAACGCTCCCTGAGGCCATCCTTCCCTACCTTACCTGACCGTTATCTTCCATGCCCAGACCCCAAACAGGGATGATCCTCTGGATAAAATTTGCTTCGCAGCTGCCCTGATTTCCAAGCCTCCGCACGTCAACAATCCCTTCCCCGTGTCCCCTAAGATTGCAGATCGCTGCATTGATCGCCGCATCACTCCCCTTCCGCCCACTGCAGTCCCCCCATCGCCACTCGTCACACCCTACGCCGATATCAGGGAGTATTCTGTCAGCAAAGGTGTCCCAGCTCATGAGCGATGCCATGCGTGACTTCTCGAAGGCAACGAATCATCCGATGATCCTGCACTTCACGGACTGTAGTAACGCAGCCATTATCTCCAATACTCAGATTTTACCTGAGCACGTTTTCAGGTGTAATCAACCTGGAATTTCTCAACGTTGATTGGTCGTTGCTTTATAGTCACATTTCTCACGCTGGTCGAACTCATTAGGAAGTGACTGCAGTTTTCCGATCCATCAGCTCAGACAAGCTCTCCGCCATGGCTCCTATGATAACTTCAACTCGTGCAATGTCAAGCTAACCTTTATCAGCTTCAAGATCTGAATACATATTTTGGGTCTACTCATCAAGGTCTTGATTTCGACACCACTTTATGTTCAAACAGAGAACATTGGCTCGTCGTGACTTCCTCTTGTGAAGATCTGTTTTCAGGTTCTTAAACTGGTTTTGAGCTCAAGACATTTAGTTGCTCTAAGGAAGCTATAATGCCCAGGGTTAGCACAAGTCATCATCGAAGCTGGAACCTGGAAAGCAACACAGACACACGACATGAGACGAGAAAGTACAAGGCAGCTGGACCGCCAAATATTTTTCGCTTATCAATCTTCTCTGCCATTCTTCGACAAGAGACAAGAAATGAAACGTCTCGTTACCCGCGGACATGTTTATTACCACCGTCAAGAGCGACTAAATCCGGATCAGCGATGGTTTCTGACAAGACAGGGTATACATCCTGTTTGCAGCAAACGCAAAGTGAAGGACATTTAAAATGGCTCCCGCGAAGAACTACAAGTGCAACACTTTCTGCCTTCCTACATCGTTCACGATTCACAGAAGCTTCACGCTTGTCACGGCAACGCACGCCAAGGAATAACTACGAATCTGAACCAAGATCATGTTCCAAACGATCGACTCTGACCATATCAGTTCAAGAACTACCAATATTCCGAATGGCTTCACTATCAACTCAGGAAGAAATTTCTCTATATTTCTTGGCGACAACTTATGGCAACATGATGCTGACATGAAGAAGCATATCATGGTGGATTCTACGGAATAACATTTTCAGGATAAGCCTATGTCGCTGGAGGAAACAGGGCTATGGCGCCACGTTACGACTGCGGTGTGTGAAGCTACTCAAAATTCTGTCGCGGATGCAGCTGCTCCTATCTTCCCTTAGAAAGTGGGGGTTGCCCCCAGCATTCAGCTCACGCAACTGCCTGCCATAGGAGGCTTTGGTGTACGGGGCACAGCTGCTAGGCAGCAACTTCGAACCAGGGCAATTTCTGCTCTCCCAACCCAACGCCACCACTCTCGGCGAATCAGATTTGGAGCCAAAGGACCAAGACTGAACATTCGTCACCAAAGTCCTCCACGACAACAATTTCGAACCAGGGTTTTCTCTGTTGGAACCCAACCTTTTTACAAGGCACGGCAGGGCAGGCTCGTAGCCAATTCTTCCAAGCTGAAGCAACAGATACAGAACCTGGAACCTACCGAGGCGTTTCTGCCAGAGTTGAAGTGTGGCAACGGCACAGTTAGATTTTGTGGCGGGCAAGTTGAAGTTTTTAGGCGTTTGGTCTATAAGTCTCCCTAGATTTCTGCGAGGGTACGGTATACACTACCTATGCCCTCTAGCTCCGGTTACGACCGACGGTGTTTTGCGTTGTACGATGTATAATGCATTTTCACCTACCAAAAAAAAAAATTCATTAGAAAGTGACAAAAACAGAACCATCCAGTTAACCCTCCCGAATTGGATATAAGTACGGAAATTTATGTAGTAAGAGAATGAAGGCCATATAATTCACTCGGTAGTGCTCGGTAGCGCAACTGACCGCTAAACAACGCTACGGAAAACACTAGACAACGCTACCGAGAACTATTCGGGAATGGCAGAAAACAATAAAACCCCTAGGGAACCAGGATGCATTTTCGAGAGGGATCAACCATGAACACGAGAATTGGCATTGTTTTGGGGGTTGATGCCTCCCGAGTGGGTTTTTTTTTTTTTCAAGTGGGTTGCAATATGTTTTCCAAAATATTGGGCGGCTTTCGGTATTTAGGGTTGATCCTTCCCGGAAATCATCTAGGTTCGCTATGTGTTTTATATTTATATTTTCGCAAGCGCTGGAATTATTTCTTTTGAGTGACTGTATACGAGAAAGAACTATAAAATCTTCCCACTATATCGCGGAACCATGATTCTGTTGGTGATTACACCTGAGAAGGCGCTCAGGCAAAATTCGAGTATTGGAGATAATAGCCGGTAAAAAAAGGCACTTGACAGAGATGAGCGACATTGCATCCTGGTAACCTGGTATACCTGCTCCGTATCACAATAGAAACTCGATTTTGTACCGGGTCAATCCGCCTTCTTTGCCGACCGTCCACATCGGCGCTGTAAATTCGTTTTCCGAACTCTAGGGAATGGGGATTGGTTTTCTTTCCTATCGACTCCGATTCCACCGTCCAGTCAGTCTTTAGGAACCCGAGGGAGAAATTTTCGAGGAGTTGCCTCTGGGAGCTACGGCTGGTGCAACTCTCGCTATTTCAGCTCAACCTGCCATGGTATGTTATTTTTTCCTCCTGATTCATCCGTCATGGTGATGGAGGTTAGGATGTCTTTCGACGAGGCAGACTTTTTCCAGCCGTATCCGCCTAACGTATCTGGTTCGGTAGATGTGAACGCTTATCTATTGGCTCCTAGGAAACAAGTACGTCTTTGGATAATCTCTAAGAATTGCTTCGTTCGCGAGTTTCTGATGTATATGTCTCCATCGCATCGTACAGGAGTATTAACAGTCTCGTTGAAAATCTGTTTTAACGGTATATTCAAATCCACCTTTGTTTTTTCGTCCTCCCCCTATGCAGGTGAACTTATCACCTGGTCAAGTCAACGCTTTCATCTGGTGTCTTCTTATCGGTTTCACGGGATGGCTGCTGCACTGGCTTCTCGCCTACGTCTCTCTATGGCGGCGCGGAAATCAATTTCCTGGTCCCAAGGGTCACCCCCTCTGGGGAAACACGGCAGAGCTCTCGGGAGCTGGAAGCATCACCGGTACGCTTTTCTTAGCGTGTCATTTATTCGTTCCGTTTCTCGCGCTTGCTGGCGTCGCAATTATTCGTACCGTCTCTTGCGTTTTCTTTATCTGAAACCATATCCTGCCGTGTAGCCGTTTTAACATCTCAACACCTTTTCGTGCTCTCCTTTTCCAGACCTTATTGCAAGGCTTCACTCGGAGTACGGTCCCGTTGTAAGGCTCTGGATGAGCCCGACGAAGCTGCTTATATCGATTCGCGACCCGACGCAGGTTCGCAAGGTGCTTATGCGAGCTCTTGAACGACCGCCTGCCTTCAGCCGAATCATGGCTCGCTGCCTCGGAGCGGATTCCACTCGCTTCTCGTCCCTCATGCAACCGCGGGATCGCAGATCCTTCTTAGATTACCACTGCCATACCACGCTCAAGTTTCAGGTTCACGAGGTGACGTCAACCGTCGTTCACATGGCGTCACGCCACTGGACGTCCGTCGCCGAGTCTGGCGGGGAGATTGACGTGGGTGGTGTA